AGAGCGGATTTACTGACTCAGATCGGACGCTCTGACCTGGGCACGAGGGCTCATCCTCCTGCCGCCCCACTCTCCCCGTCCCTCCTCCTGCTCCGGGGACCACTCCCCAGAATAAGCTCTCACAGGCTCTGCCTTCTGGGGAGACCAGCCTAAGCCAGCAGGGGCTAGTGACAGTTTCCTGATGCCGAGGAGGGAGTGGCTGGCAGGCGTACTTCTGAGGACGTTTTCCGACAGCCTCTCAGTACACGGGGAGGTCGCCAAAGCCAGCTCCGCAGCCCAGGGGCTCCATCTCATTCTCAGACCCTCAAGCAGGGCCTGGCACTAGGTAGGTGCCCCAGAAAGATCTGCTGAAGGAGCGCGTGCCCTGCTGCTCCTGGTGGCGTTCTCTGGTCCTGCCCTGGCTGCTGCACTCCCTGGTTTGGCCTCAGGAGGGTGCCAGGACCTTGGTGTCTGGCTGGGGGCAGCCTGGAGACAAGCTCCTCACTGCCCAGGACTTGTGCCTGCCCAGGACTTGTGCCTGCCAGGTGCCTGCCTGGGGGTCCGAGGGTGTGTGTCCCCAGCGGGAGGGGCAGAAACTCACCTGGCGAAGTCCTGCCCCCAGCTTCTGCTCCCGACGGGATGGAGCTCAGCACCCCTCCACTCTCCCCGTCCCTCCTCCTGCTCCGGGGACCACTCCCCAGAATAAGCTCTCACAGGCTCTGCCTTCTGGGGAGACCAGCCTAAGCCAGCAGGGGCTAGGGACAGTGTCCAGGGTTTTCCTGACGCCGAGGAGGGAGTGGCTGGCAGGCGTACTTCTGAGGACGTTTTCCGACAGCCTCTCAGTACACGGGGAGGTCGCCAAAGCCAGCTCCGCAGCCCAGGGGCTCCATCTCATTCTCAGACCCTCAAGCAGGGCCTGGCACTAGGTAGGTGCCCCAGAAAGATCTGCTGAAGGAGCGCGTGCCCTGCTGCTCCTGGTGGCGTTCTCTGGTCCTGCCCTGGCTGCTGCACTCCCTGGTTTGGCCTCAGGAGGGTGCCAGGACCTTGGTGTCTGGCTGGGGGCAGCCTGGAGACAAGCTCCTCACTGCCCAGGACTTGTGCCTGCCCAGGACTTGTGCCTGCCAGGTGCCTGCCTGGGGGTCCGAGGGTGTGTGTCTCCAGCGGGAGGGGCAGAAACTCACCTGGTGAAGTCCTGCCCCCAGCTTCTGCTCCCCGACGGGATGGAGCTCAGCACCCCCTGGTAGGTGTGGTGACACTCTGGGGCCAGCCTCAGGGGAGCAGGAAAGGCATCTGGGAAGACCCAGGGGAGACGGGAGGACCAGAGGTGTGGGTCTGAAGCCAGCCCAGGAGCCTCAGACCACCTTCCCTTAGGGCTCAATGTCCTCCAAACTCTGGGGACCAGGCAGTCAGAGCACGAAAGGACAGAGGACGGCATTTACTGAGCACTCACCAGGTGTCAAGGGTCACCTGGCTCAATCCTCACAGAAAGTGAGGACAAGGAGGGTCCCGAGAGTGCCGGGAGCTGGACTGGAACCCGGGCTGCTGGCCCCGATGGCCCAGGGGGAAACTCTATGTGAGAGAAGCGCCAGAGTGGATGCCGGTTCAGGACGCTGCAGGTTACAGGGCGAGCTCTGTGGCTGCAGAGTGACTGACCCAGCTCTGGGCTGTGCCTCCGCCTCTGCCGGGGACAGCGGGCTCCTTGGACGGAGCACCGTAACGAGGAGGGTGGGAGAGTGGGCTCTGAGGTGGGAGGGCCCTCACAGGGCGCCCAGCACCCTGGGCCGCGTCCCAGGACCTCAGCAGCTCCCACACTGGACTGGAGTCACCCATTGGCGCCAGGATGTCAGGCAGAAGCTGGGCATCGTGAGGGGGTGGCTGGGCCTTGCCATGCAGCCAGTCTTGGTGAAGATAAAACCGATGATACCGCAAGTCACAATAAACAAAGGGGAGGATTCCCCCCCAAATGGTATGAGGTTAGTGAAATTTTGATCCCCAAAACCAGATAAGGACAAAACAATAAAATAAATTTAAAAAATGACAGGCCCGTTTCATTTGTGAACACTGTGTTAAAGCCCCAAACAAAACACACAACTTTGTATCAGAAGTAATACATCGTGGCCTAGTAGGGCTTATCCCAGAACCGCATTGGAAAGTGTAGCGAAGTCACTCTCCACACCACTGGGAACAAAGGGGAAGCTGCAGGGATTACTCTCCGCGATGCAGAAAAGCCTTTGGTAAGATTGTTACTGATTTCCGACACAAATTCTTACTAAACTAGGAACAGAAGGGAACATGTTGAACTTGATGCCAAAAATCTACACCAAATGTTACAGTGCCCCTGGGTCTCCAGCCCAGACACCCTCACCCAGGTCACAGCAGCCCGAGCCATGGAAGGTGGGGTGTGAGTTCGAGAATATAGCCGACAAGGGAACCGTTTGCACTGTTTCAGAGATAAAACTGCAACGGTTTCTTTGCTTTTCTCTTTGTTCTTTTGTAGCTCATTAAATACCAGCCAGGCAGGACTGGCGAAGGCAAATTTCAGATTGCTTTTAGCGTAAGTAAAATGAGCAAATTAGGTTCTTTCTTGGAGAAAAATAAGAGAAGGGTTTTGCATGTGAAGGGATAAGGAGGGTGCTGGCAGGACCCGAGGGAAGAGGACCACCAGGGGTGGGGAGGAGCAGAGACCCTCAGCCCAGGCCCTGGGCGGCACCCTGGAGCATGTCTAAGGCCCAGGGCCTGTGCTGATGGCGACTGGCCCAGTCCTCAGTGGGCCCGGACTGTCCGCCCCAGAACAGCGCCTACCCTTGCCTCTGGCTGGGCCAGTCCGGAGGGTGCCACCCCTGCTTCTACCTGCGGAGGCACTGTAAGGAAATGATCGTTTCATTGTCCACATACACAGTTACCTTGTATATCATATTGATGGTGTTTTCAAGCTTCTTATGGCTCCCGAAGAATTACTGCTCCGGGCAGGAAGGAGCGTCAAAGATGAAGAGAGAGCACTGGCCCTGAGGCCGGAATCTGGTTCGACTTGACCCCATCTCTCTGTTAAGGTGCTGACTGGGTTTCCTTTCTGCCTCCTGGGGACCCCCTGCCAACCAGCCCCACCTGGGGTCTTGGCTGCAGCTCAGCACCCCTTGCCAGCTCTGTGGGAAGGGTCTGTATGAAACGCTGCCATCAGAGGGTCCCCGAGTGGAGTGTGAACTTCTGGCAAGGGGTTCCCAGGCAGACAGACTGAGTTAAACATCCCGGATCCCTCTGCAATTGTCCTCCATCGTGATGACATCGAGGAGCATAGCTGGGTTTGGTGCCAGAAACACCTAAACGCCCTACTGTTACTGCAGAAAATGAGGGTTCAGTGTCCCGTTATCCAGACCGGTTTAAAAACCACACTGTTTTCCTTGTGACTATTTTTACAGTGGCCTCTACTTTAAAAATTTTTTAAAATATATTTTAAAATTGATTTCAGAGAGGAAGGGAGAGGGAGAGAGAGAGAGAGAAACATCAATGACGAGAAAATCATTGATCGGCTGCCTCCTGCACGGCCGTACTGGGGACTGAGCCCCAAACCCAGGCATGTGCCCTGACCAGGAATCAAACCGTGACCTCGTTCAAAGGTTGACGCTCAACCACTGAGCCACACCAGCTGGGCCAGTGCCCGCTACTTTTAACCAGCGGAGCCTGTTTCCACTTAGGGATGAAACAGGGTCCATTTCCAATAGGCTATCTGAGTTAAGCTGTTGTATTGCAAGTCAGCGAGCTGGACAAGACTCCTAACGAGCCAATTAGTTAGGCGTCATCTTTATTGCGCTCAGGTTCAGAGCAGATGACCTCTGTCAAATTCTGAACAAACACGGGAGGGAATAATTTCTTTTTATATCCTTCTAGTTCAGTGGTTCTCAACCCTGGCTGCACATTAGAATCACCTGGGAATCTTTTGAAAAATCCTCATTTCTGGGCCTCATCCTCCGGAAATTCTGTTTCTTTGTGATGGGGTGGGGCCACAACATTAGTAACAAAGAAACAGTATTTCCGGAGGATGAGGCCCAGAGACCAGGATTTTAAAAAGATTCCCAGGAGATTCTAGTGTGCAGCCGAGGTTGAGAACCGCTGTTCTAGTTCTTTGTGTAAGACAGCTTGTAACCTTGACTACGTATCGTATTTAACCAAACACCTGTCATACCTATACAACTTGTAACTCTGAACACACATTATATCTAATCAAACACCTGTAACCTTGGATGAACAAACACTTGGCAAAATACGTGAATTAATATTAGCAACAGTGTATCAGCCCCTTGAGATGGCTAGCTTGCAAGGTCAGGCAATTAAGTTTCTCTGTTCTATTATTCAAGCGAAAAAGCAAGGCTATTTTTCAGTCTAAAAATAACAGAGTTGACCCAGGGAATAAGAGGCTAAGAATAACAGAGGAGTTCAAACAGCCGTTTTCCCAAAGGAGGGACCACTGTATTTCAAAGTGGGGTGGTTTAGGGGAAAGGGTGGCATCCAGACGGCTGGTAGGGACGAGAAACCCAGCGGGGAGTGTGCGCGCGCCTGCCTGTGTGCAGGGCACGTGGCTCTGTCCTTTGTGCGGCCTCTTTGTCTGTGGGAACAAATGCAAGAGTTTGTGCCCCTTCAATCTGCGCCCCAAGCGGAGAAGGAGGCGGCCAGGGCAAGGGCAAGGCCTGGAGAAGGTTCTGGAAACCTGACCCCGGGTCTCACCAGCTCGCGGCGGCCAGCCCTCCACGGCCCAGGGGGGCGGGGCGGATGTTCTCTCACCTGTGCTCACACCTGTGCACACACCTGCGCTCACACCCGTACACACACCCGTGCTCACACCTGTGCTCACACCTGTTCTCTCACCTGTGCTCACACCCGTGCACACACCTGCGCTCACACCCGTGCTCACACCGCAGAGACCGGCCCCTGGGAGGCCCGGAGCGCCCAGAGCCAGCGGTGGGACTCCGGGGAGGACGGGTGGGTGCACGGCCCGCATAGGACCCCCTCGAGGACGCTAACAAACTTCTCTGTCCCCCCCAGTGGCGCCCTACACCATCGTCTACTTCCCTGTTCGAGGTAGGGGTCTGTGGCTGGGGGGAGGGAGGTGGAGGTTGGGCGGCAGCCAGTGGCCTCTCACCCACCTTGCTCCCCCAAACCCCGCTGGTCCTTCTTCAGGGGCTCCTAGTCCGGGCCTCCTTGTCCGTGTCCCTGAGTTCCCTCGTTGGAGTAGCGGACCGCCCGTGGGCTGTCCCCTCCCCAGGGAGCAGGCCCCCTCCTCGCGGTACTGCAAGGTTGGGGTCTCTGCATCTCTGCATCTCTGCAGCCCAGGACCTGTCTCCCCTCCCCAGGGCGCTGCGAGGCCACGCGCATGCTGCTGGCTGACCAGGGCCAGAGCTGGAAGGAGGAGGTGGTGACCAAGGAGACCTGGCTGCAGGGCACCCTCAAGGCCTCCTGTGTGAGTGCTCTGCCTGCGGGGTCAGGGGCTGGGCCTTGGGGGTGAAAGTAGGGTGGGGGGGCAGGCCAGCAGAGCCCCTCTGACAGAGCTGTGCCACCCCCAGCTGTACGGGCAGCTCCCCAAGTTCCAGGACGGAGACCTGACCCTGTACCAGTCCAATGCCATCCTGCGCCACCTGGGCCGCTCCCTCGGTGAGTCCTGAGGCGCAGGCTGCCCAGTCCATGCCTGGCGGGGGGTACCCCTGCTCTGCGCCCCTGTGGAGTGGAGGAGAGGCAGGCAGGGAGGTCAGATGGCTTGCCCGAGGTCAAGCCCAGGTCGCCTGCAGCCCTTGCCCCATGCCAGGCTGCCTCTCACCGAGTTCTGAGCGCCTACGGGTCAGGACTGCTCCTTCCCTCCGTCCACATCCTCCTCCCTCCTGCCTAGCTGGGGCCCCCAGGCAGCCACATGGCCTGTCTGTAGATCCGCTCTCATGGGTGTCAGCTGACCAGTCATGCAGTGGGCTCTCCTGCACCCCCTTCCCTGCTCTCCCCGCCCCAGGGCTGTATGGGAAGGACCAGCGCGAGGCGGCCCTGGTGGACGTGGTGAACGACGGCGTGGAGGACCTCCGCTGCAAATACGCCACCCTCATCTACACCAACTACGTGAGCACGGGGTGGGCACGGGCCGGCAGAGACGGGGCCTTCCTGAACTCTCATCCCACCCCACACCCCTCATGTGGCTCTAGCTGAGACCTCCCTAGGTCCGGGGGCCTGGGTGGGGTGTGGCTCTGTGCTGGGGGCCAGTAACCAGCAATAGCAGAGCAGTGCAAGGACAGGAGACATTGAGCCAGGGATGGTCCGGAGGGCTTCCTGGAGCAGGGCGGGGCGAGGAGGAGGAGCTACAGCCAGCTCCTGGAAGGGGAGCTGGCACTTTCAGGCACACAGGTATGCAGACACAGAGCGCATTCAGGGACCCAAGACGAGTTTAACAGAGGCAGGCGCGCGTGGCTGTGCGTGAGCGGGTGGGAGGAGGTGGAGCTGGAGGGGCAGCAGGCCCAGGGCCGGAAGGTCTGAACCCCTGGGCTTACACCCGCTCCTGCTGGCAGGAGGGAGCCATGGAGGAGTCTAAGCAGGATGTTGTCCAAACATGAGGTCTAGAAGGAACCTCCAGGGCTTCCGTAGGAATCTGCTGAGAGGTCACAGGGCGAGAAGGAAGGAGCTGGCTGCTGCAGTGGACAGCACGCGGCATAGCCTGGGGTGGGAGTCAGCCGCGGAGCATGGGGCTCTGAGGGTGGTGAGTCACAGATGGGGCCAACAGGAGGGGGCGAGCTGCAGTGTGGGGGTCAGGAGGGTGACCAGTGCCGTCGTGTCTCTGGCAGGAGGCGGGCAAGGAGGACTACGTGAAGGAGCTGCCCGGGCGCCTGAAGCCCTTTGAGACCCTGCTCTCCCAGAACCAGGGGGGCCAGGCCTTCATCGTGGGCAACCAGGTGAGCGACGGTCCTTGTCCTGCCCCTCCCATGCCACCCCCACTTACCAGTGGGAAAAGGTGCAGAGAGTATGTGAGCCGTTCATTGCTGGACAGACCTAGGGACCGGCTCAGGCCCTGGGCCCCCACCTCCCCTCACCCTCTGGTCTGCTCCCACCTGCTGATCCCCGCCCCTACCCTGCAGATCTCCTTCGCCGACTACAACCTGCTGGACTTGCTGCTGATTCACCAGGTCCTGGCCCCCAGCTGCCTGGACTCCCTCCCCCTCCTCTCGGCCTACGTGTCTCGCCTCAGCGCCCGGCCCAAGCTCAAGGCCTTCCTGGCCTCCCCGGAGCACGTGAACCGCCCCATCAATGGCAATGGGAAACAGTGAGGGCCTGTGGCACCTCAGCAGGAGGCAGGGGCTGCCTGCCTGCCTCCCTTCCCTGGACCAATAAAATTTCCAAAAGTGGTGCTGTGGGCATTGAGTTTCCTGGGGGAAAGGGCTGTGGGACACTGGAGGTGGCCTGGCTAGGACACTTGAAATCCTAAAACCATCAGTGTCTACTGGGAGCTTGCAACACAGTCTGTTTGCTGAACTCCAGGAAGAGAGAGGAGAAAAAAAACAGGAAGAGAAATAACAGATCCTTACCCTGGAGGTCCCGGTCCCGAGAGAAAAGGCTCACTTATGTCAGCAGGCTTTCTAGCCCCAGCAGGCAGCTTGCCGGGGACTTTTGTCCTGGACACTGGGAGCTGAGGGTCCCCCAGGGGACACGTGTGGGCAGCTCCGAGCAGCCCAGGCTGGTTGGTGGGAGGGTTAGTCACTCTTCTGCAGGTGGGGCCTTCCTGGCTTCCTCGGACATTGCGGGCATAGGAGCAACACAGAGATCAACCTGCCGCCGCCTCTCACCACCCAGGTTGCCAAAGGATGGAGCCTGAGAAGAGATCAACCAGCCTGGGGGAGCTGGGGTGGGGATGGGGGGCAGGCGTGTCCACAGTGGAGAGAGTCCAGGCCAAGTGGAGGCACTGGGGTGTGAACGGGTCGGGGCTTCCGGGGATGCTGGAGGAGGAGCCACAGGGGCCTCCTGTTGTGCAGCCTGGAGGAGCCTTGCCCAGCCTTAGAGTCACCGGCCCAAAAGGGGGCTCTCACATAGGGGAGCCCCTCAGGAGGCCAACCTCTCACTTGAGAGGCCTCAGGCCTCAGAGTGGGGTCAGCAAAGGGAGGCCTGCGCCCACCCACATCTCAGAGGTGGTCCCCCTTGGAGGCCGTGGCGGGGGCACTGGGGGATGCTTGGCCACCATTGGGAAGCCCTGGGAACGGAGAGCAGTGCCAGGCACTCCCTGGGCGTCGCCCAGGAGGCTGAGGACATAGGTTAGAAGCTGGAACAGACATTGCCTGGGGGAGGACTTTGGATTTAAGATGTGTGGCTCCAAACTGAAAAGACGGGTGTCCTTGAACCGCCTGCAGCCACACCTGCGAATAACAGCAGTAGCTGCTCATACTTACTGCATGCTGGTTCCCCACAGGCATGATGGGACAGGCTGTGGTACAGGCGTGCCAAACTCAAAAGCTTACATGGACCAAATAAGGTTTAGTGTATGTGGGCTGCAGAGAAACAAAAGCTTCAATTTCCATAGAAACGTAGGTTTATTTCGATAGAGACATGCTGAATACAAAGGGCTGAAATAAATGAGTCATCGTTAACATAAAATAATGGAACATTTTAATAAAAATTAATGCTTTTTTTTGAGCATTAACTTACCAGACACTGAATAACTGCACAAATTAGTAAGTGTAACACAATAAACCTATGTTTCTTGTTCTCCGAAAGCGAAATATTACCTGTTACA